ATTACGAAAGTGCCTCATTTCTGGCCATGGACTTGGATGGTGCCCAAAATACAAAGACAAAATATTTGAAAAAAAAAAAATTTGTTTTAGTGTATAAGTTAATTGTACATATGTGGATCATTCGTCACGTGCAATTTATTTATTAACCTAGTACACTGAACCAAAAATCCATCTCTGGATCAAAGAAAAACTTTTCTTACTTTAAGGTCGAAAATTCTTCCGAATGAATAAAAAATTCTCCCGAATGAGTAATTTTTCTTTGGAATGTGTAAAAACGTACGCGAATATATGGAACCGTGGATGTAATCTATCATTTTGAAGAAATTTTGGGCATGAAAAGAGGATAAAACTTCTTTAGTGCTATTTCGTTCTCATTTTTCTTCATTTGATTGCTGTTTTTCTTCAATTAAGAGAAGTTTTTTTTTGAGTGTAAATTTAAAATAATTGACATGGGTATCTGCTCTTTTACGTTTCCTTTTTGTTTTTCAGTTTTAATTCTGGTTGATGTGCAATCGAAGGCTCGAGGGAAACTTCATTAATATCCCACTTAAGAGTCCAATGGGAAATCTCCTAAGATAGCAGTAAAAAATGCTCTCTGAGGCATGTTTTAAGAGCAACAAACGGCCCCTGTGGTGTAGTGGTTAGAAATGCTCACTACCATTTCGCAGGCCCTGGGTTCGAATCCAGTTTCCGACTAGTGTATTTCTGCCATGAAAAACAGCTTCTCATAAAATACCATCGCCGTTCGGGGTCGGTGTAAAACTGTGGGTCCCTGCCCTGTGTGTGACAACACAAAGGCGCACGCCACAAATCGAAGGAGAGGAGAAGCTCGGCCAAACACTAAAATATTGGGCCTCAACACACGTTCACGCACGCTTTTTCACGGACATTTTTTTTTTTAATTTAATCTTTATTTATGTAAATTGCATTTCATATAATGTGGCTTTTATCACATAAGTTTTGTTACAAAAGCTTTCCCAAACCTCAATCAATGCTATGAGTAAGAATTTGCGAAAGTCACCCGGTATTATCTCCATCGCAATATTTGCTTTTTGCATACTTTATTTTGCTATTCTCAAATATACAGAACCGAATCGCTGAGCGAATTTCGTCGGACAGAGCGATGCCGTCGATTGATATTAGCCGCAACATTTCACCTAAACAGAACCGAAAAGAAATAGGCATCAAATGAATGACAAATAAAAAATATTAAAATACAAAAGAGAAAAAATTAGTCCGCAAATTTTCCCTTTTTGCCTATTCCTGATAATTATCTGCTAGAAAAATGAAGAAACGAAGCTTTTTTATCACTGACACTTGTGCGGGGCGGCAGCGGCAAAATTAAAATTAAATCTCTCTATTCTCGTCGAATTTCGTCAGACGAACTTCGTCTTCGTCGCCGATTTGGTTGTGCGCAATCTCATATACTGCAGAGTGTTTTAATTTTGGCAGCGAACTTTCTTCCGACGAAGTTCGCTCAGCGATTTGATTCTGTTTACACTCCCAGGGTAAGTAATGTTGCTACCCAAATTTTGGCGGAGAGCTACACCGCAAGTATACTATTGTATATTGTTTAGAATATATATAACATATACATACAGCGGCCGCTGTGGTGAAGTGGTTAGCAGAGCCCACTACCACTCCGCAAGGCCTGGGTTCAAACCACGGTTGCCAACCGTCCCGTTTTCGGCGGGACTGGCCCGGATTTTAGAGCTATGTCCCGGTCCCGGTACAACACATGCCGGGACGCAAAATGTCCCGGTTTTTGGGAAGAAAAAATTTTATACTTTTCGTAGTTAAAAAAAATTAGAACTTTTAAAATATTTACATTAAGGTGATCAAATTGTTCAGGCGACAGTTTTTCGACGAATCGCATGGTATTTTCGATTTCTCTAGATAATTCTAACAGAAAATGTAAAAGAAACTACAAGTCGGAAATGGGTCTCTAGCCTGCGCATTTTTAAAAGAAAAATTAACTTGTTCTCAAAATTTTATTTTTTCGTTATATGCTGATTTTAGAAAGTCGACAATCCGTGTCGAAATTATAAACGCACCACATATTGACAAGTTCTAACAATTTATTTTTTTGCCATTTAATTTTAGTTATTTTTTTGTAAAGATATGGTTTACTCTTTAACCACAGTCGTATAACTCTAAGTTTAAAACTTTGTGCAATATTTAGAAAAAAAAAATTAGCAAACTTTTGTAAAAATTTAAGCCGCTTTAGATGGATTTCTTAGAAAGATTTTGAGTATAGTTTCGTGGTACATTAAATTTTATTAAAATAAAGTGCAATTAGCTAAGATTTACCGTCGATTTTTATCGTTTTTTATTGAAAAAAAGTAATTTTTGTATGGAAGAGGCACAGTCAGCAAAAAAAATTCTCAAAAATCAACGGTAAGTCCTAGACGCCTTCATATCAAGTTTTTGTTCTTAAAATACAAAAACCGTTTCTTTTTGATGTTTGTTAATCTTTCATGTTAAAATTTAACAAAACAGATGTATTTCGCTACCTAAAGCTGAAAACGTGCCAAGTCCACTTTATTAAAAATTAGTTTTTGATGCATAATGACAGATAATGCAAAACTATATCGATTTTTCGTCTCTCCTGACTGAACAACTTCAAAAAATGGACTTGGCACATTTTCACCTGTAGGTACGATTTTGAAAAATGGTTTTTATAAAGAAAGGAAATGTAAGAAACTTAAATATACACATTTTGTATGCAAAAGTTTTAAGAAAAGTTTAAAAAAAACTAATATCGTGAAAATGTATTTTTTCATTTAAAAATGTGCTGGCTGAAACTCATTACCGAGCCATGGTTTCTTCTATACTCTCTCTTAGAATTATCTGCAGAATCAGGAAATACCATGCGATTTATTAAAATCAACATTGTCCCAGCCTAATGTACATACATTCATATACATATATGTATATTTTGCATATGCGATTTAATCGACAATAAAGTCAAAAATTTTAGTGACGAATTCATTTTAAACAAGATGAGCACACAAAATATGTACAATTTTTTGTTTGGAAGAAACTGCCAAAAATCAACGCGACTTTTTACCAACTTCAGACTGGCACTTACGTTATAAAACAGTGTCAACTTGTAGCCAAATTTATTGAATTTTCCTGAGTTTTGAACGAAGTTTAGATAAATTGTTATGTTTTTGTTGTAGTATGAACTATGTTTTTATAAAAAATTCGAGGAAAAATTTAAGTAAAAAAGTTACATATGTACATTGTGAAAAATTCCCCTTGCCAAATACATACATATGTATACAGAAATTTATAATTTATAATTTGGTGTGATTTTTATTTCAACTTTAATTTATGTTTTAAATTATTTAAAAGTATTAGCATTGAATACAAAATAATACAAAATAATACAAAATATGGAAATTTTTATCTATATGTATATTTTTTATGTTTTCTTATTTTAAATAGAAAATATTCAAAATACATCATTGAAGTTGATGTCCCGGTTTCAATAATGCAAAAGTTGGCAACCGTGGTTCAAACCCTGGTCGAAGCAACATCCCAAAAAAAGTTAGGGATTTTGGTAAAAATTTGCAGAATTTTCATAATTTTTACACAACGTCTGAAATTTAGATTTATATGGTGCTTGTTAAGTAATCAGCTATACTTTCATAAAAAATAACAAACATTAAATAAACTAAAGGAAAATTGCACTTTTCTTTAGTTGCATTGCTTTTTCTTTCCTAGTATATGTAGTACATTTTTATATTGAAATATGTATGTAGTTTTATTTACCTATTTTCTTCCAGCATTCTTTTTACATCCCTATATACATACATATGTATGTTCACATATGGCGCAAACATACACATGTAGACGGCATGCATCATGAATGGCTGAGGTTCATTCAATGCAAATGGTGTGCACAAAAATTATTTGCCTCGATTGAATGGGAATACCAGCAGGTGTTTGCTTACAGGTCCATTCATATACGCATACGTACACACATAGCTTTCTTTTATATGTACAATACATCATACTAAACATTTTATAAAAAGCTTTGAGACTTTCGAGGTTTTCGATGTTTCTTTTCAGTTTAAAGATTATCTATCTAAAAAAATTTAATTCACTTGGAATATTTTTACTTTCAGTTAAAATTATAGGGAATCTTATCTAAAAAATCTGTTTTTAATGTGACTGATTTATTGCTTTTTATTAAAAATTTTTGGGGCCAATTCCTGTTCTGTGAAAACGTGAAGTGAAAACATTTTTCATCACTAATTATTCAAAAATTTTTCACTGTGTGCGTTTTCACTTTTTTTCACAAAGTTTTGTGGCTGTGGAAAAGAAAAGTTCCCAAAGGCATCATCTTGCGATGAAGAATATCATTGTCTTAAATTCACAATAATTTACTAAATAATTACTTGCTAGATGTTAATGGAGTAGCGTTTAATGTTCGAGAATCGCTTAAAATGATATAAAGAAACGATAAACGGAACAAATTAAATTTTCACTGACATTGAATTTTTAATTTTCACTTCACAGTTTCATAGAACCAGAATTGGCCCCCTGGTCTGGTTAAGGTATAACTTTTTTTAGAGATTTATGGAATCGTAAAATATAATAGCAGATAAATCTAACCAAAATCAAAGAAAAACAAGAAATTTTATACTAATTTGAATGGCATATTTTTTAACAATGCAAATTTAAAAAACGTAATCTTAGTTTAACAAACTACTTGACGAAAAATAAAACTAAAAAGTTTCGAAAACTTGTATTTGAAAGTATGTACGAGTAAATCAGGGGTGTCCTCTCACAACTGGAAGACAACTGGAAAACGTGAAAAGTCTCGAAACTTTTACTGAGCTACCAAAATGGGTCTGAATACGGCTTTAAGGTTTTCCAGTTCAATTAAATCTCTTAGTTTTCAATATCAATTATGTTTTTGTAAATATTTCCAATTAAGATGTTTCAATTTAAACTGGCTTTAAAAACACAATCAAGTTAACCAAACTTACCTAGCTAATCGAACGATTTGATCGTCAGAGTTCCAACTATATTTTCTGTATTTGCGATACCGCATTTCCTTGCCCTCGTTAAGCGAAAAGTTACTTGAAGGGGAAATTGATTGATGGCTTCAAGCAAAAATTCGTATGTACAAATGAATGTATGTTTATACATACATACTTAGTACACTGTTATTTGCCTTATTGACTGCTTCACAGGCTATCAACCAAGTCAAGTCGTAAGTATGATTACTTGCTAAATTCTGTATTTATTTTACATGTATGGCCATAAGTAAAGGGCTCGAGATTTTTTTTTTTTTTGCTTTATACCAAATGTACATACATACATGTATCGCTTGCAGTACAACTGACTCCTTTGTTGTAGAATTTGATTCGTTTAATGTTCTTCTTTATGCTCTTCTGCCCCTTGGGTTCGTTTAGGTTTGCGTGCGCTTATTTATTCACCCGATTGGCAGTCTTCACTCAATGGTAAGAGTACTGATATTGTTCAAATAGTTTGAACTTGTGACATTTTAGCGTCAGTTTGACTTTTGCTTATACATATAACTATATTTGCACGTGCGTCCACATACAATGACTTCACAATATCGATTCTTCAGTTATTTATTCATGTTCGTCAATTGAAAAGGAAGTGACACTGGAAAATCGAGTGAAATGGTTAATACCGAATGAACGCCTGGGGAACGAAACGAGCAAGTGTTTTTTTTTTTTTTTGAGACTGTGGTGTTGCATGGTAAATATGGTTTCTGTGTGGATTAAATATCTACTGAATAGCTCAATTTGTTAAATTCATTCATTCTTGGAGTGCCTTTAACTTATAATTATATTTTCATCAACTTTACTGTAAGTTTAACTTATAACTGCTTAAGTCACACCAGCTGACCCAAATACATTGCGAATTCTTCGGAAACTAGGTAAGCACCTAAAATAATTTTGGTGGCCTTAAATAGCACCTAATTTCTTAATATTATTTACTAGTGTTCGCCGACATTGAGGTTGAGGTTGAGTCAACTAGTGTAACGGCATGCTGGCTGACTATGGGTCAATTGCAATTTTCTCGGAAACTAACTGAGCACATAAATTAATTTTTGTGGCCTTAAATCACACCTAATTCCTGATTAATTTGCATCAGTATTTGAAAAAGCGGCCGCTGTGGTGTAGTGGTTAGCAGTGCGCGCTACCACTCCGCAGGGCCTGGGTTCAAACTCTGGTCAAAGCAACATCAAAAAAAAAAATTATAGAAAAAAGGTTTTTTCTTAACAGCGGACGCCACAAATCGGAGGAGAAGCTCGACCAAACACTAACATATTGTGGAAGCGCCAATCTATTATTATTATTATTATTTGGAAAAGTGGGTCAGCAAGCGTGACGGATTTGTGAGAGGAGGTATTATTTTTTCTTGCATTACCAAATTTTCGTAGCCTGATTGCTTAGTTGCGCTTAAGAATCTTTGTATAAAATGTTAGCTAAAGCTTTGTTAGCATCTAATCGCATACCACTTTTACATTAATAATCACGATTTATTCAATATCGTGTACAACCTTTACATACGAGGGCAATTTGAAAAGTCATTTGACCTTTGGAATTTCCCGCGCAGTAACTTTAAATGCAATACTGCTCCCGTCAACTGCCATCGATTAAAATACTACTGTAAAATGTTGACCAAGCTGCGCCATTTGGTTTGTGTTTGACAGCCATGGAATTTTAACGAACATCAAAAAAAAATAATTTTGCGTGCTTATTTAGGTACTATTTTTTTGTTTTAGTAAAAAATCCATTACCGTGTAGTCACCATAGTAAAAATCGATAAATTTGGCTACGAGCTCCTACCCTATTCACCAGATTTAGCCCTAGTGATTATTTCCTGTTTCCAAACCCAAGCGGTACGAGATTTGGGTCGAATGAAGAGTTCTTCACTGAAACAAACGCTTATTTTGAGGAGCTAGAAACCCCTATTATTTGGAAGGAATTAAAAAATTCAAAAAAACGATGGACTAAATATATCGAGCTAAAACGAGACTGTGTTGAGAAAAAAACGTTTTTTTGCCGAAAAATATCACTTACAGTTCAAATTTCCCTCGCACATATGTACATATGTACATAGTTATTAGTAACAAAAATTGTCGAGACCAGCAACAAAATGAATGATACATATGAAAATGTGAAGTTGAGGCTATAAAATCTAAGTAATACTTGCCGCAAGGTCTTTGAGTGCAATAATTTGCTTGAATGTTTCTGTTTTATTATTTGTTGCTTGCAGCAAAATCGATATGAGTACAACAATGAAGAGTTTACTTGAGCAGCATTTTAAATACGTATACGGTTTTTCTCCCTTTCTGTTTTGAAAAACTATGCGCGAATAAGTGAACGCTTGTAGAGAAAGTGTTGAGAAATTTTGGCATCGTCATGTCTGAACTTTTACTATGTAAGGGCATAACAAAAAGTTGCTGCTTTAATCAACCGATTGGCAGCTTTTCATTGAAGACAGAAATTACATCGTTTTATTTGTTGAGATACTATGTAGTATATGAAAGTCGAATGAGGAACTTGTGACGTCGAATTTTAACAATCAAATACTGTGCAGATGACTAAGTACAGTGTTGCCTAGACAAGCTTTTACACACTACATTTTTAATCATATAAATCTATAGGGAGTTATTAATGTCATGTTGAACTGGCGGATCTTCGCAACGGAAAGAAGGGATTAGCGAAGTTTTATGGTATCGGCGTGAACCCATCCATATACAGTTCTATAGCCAACAAATGAAAAGGATCGCATAAAGGTTCTGGTAACCGTTTACCGTCTATTTCAATTTTTAATCGTATTAGTACTATTTATATATGTACATAAGTGCCAATGAAAAAAAAAAAAAATATTACGTAATTTACAATTCAAATGCCAAATGTTGAAATTTTTTGGAAATGCATTTTTTAAATAATCCGATAGTTTGTTAAAACGTACGTACACCTTCAGACCAAAAGTCAAAGTCTATTCTTAAACGTTACCAGATTTATGACCATTTTTAGAACATACATAGGTATGTATTGTACATATGTAAATATTGGCCAAAAGACTGTAACTTTAAAGTGTGGCATATTTTTAATTTTATTATAGTTATTGATTTACCTGTAACAAAAAAGAAAACCATTATTGATAAGCTATTTATGTAGATACATAAATATACATATGGACATACATATGTATTTAAATATAAGAAATTTTTAGTAATACATTTTTCTTAAACTGTACAAAAATTTCTTTAAAAAACGTCGCATTCTATCGTTATTTTCTACAGCGTACAGGGCAATGAGGGTGGCCATTTTGTATTGAACTTCGATAAACACTTTTCGTATGGAATAGTATGAGGTTGGGAATGGGAATTGAAAAATTAGTATTTAAATCAGTAAAATAGCTCCAGCATCATACATTCAGAAAGCAACTCTGATGCGATAATGGACTAATCTTTTTGGTAGGCAAATGTGAAAGTGATATCAAGGGCGCTATACTTATTTTCAATCCCAGGCTCACATTTTTCCATGCGAACACTTTTGAATTCAAGACTTAAAATTGTTTCATACAAATTTATGGCCACACTACATAGTGTTCACAGTTCAGTCAGTTAAGTAATAATTATTAAGGCCGATAAATCGTTCTCCCAGAGAGAGAGAGAGAAACACAACAAGAACCACATGGCTAGATAACCTGACAGGTGTGAAATCAAAAAAAAAAACAACTTAAAAATATCTATGTATGAGAACTATGTATGGAAGTTTGTATGGATTTTGCATGTTTTATTAAATTTGGTTAATATATGTACTTAAATTAGATAACCGGTTGAATTAAAGAAATTTTTAGCTGAGCCAAACCCAATTAACCACACACATCACAAGAACTCATAACAACTTTACCAGCTGACAAACACGACCGAGTGGGCGTCCAAAAGCTGAGCATCAAGCAGCCTTCAGCAACATGAATATGTACATATGTATTATGTATGTATATGATATATTGAAAAAATACAAGATATCTTAGTTGATGATGTACACTGCAATCGAAAAGCGAATATTGTCCCGACCGTTGGTTGGCCTGCTGAAATTTTATTAGAAGTTTACTGTATAAAATGCCAAAGTTCTCGACGACCTCGGATCAGCAAACAATGAGTAAACAAACACACTCACATTTATTTAAACGCAGTCTTATGCTGTGTTTTGACTTTCACTTCCATCAAGTTTTATTTGAAATGATTTTGAAAGAGATTTTTTATATTTAATATCAGCTTAGTTTTAATTAAAATAAATATAAAATGATTAAAACTAAAAATGCGACCTCGATTAAGTATTCAAATTTTCTTAAGTTAATAGAATTTACTAAACGGTTATCAAACATTCAACCCTTTCACAAAATTCAATTTTTAAAAGAATGCAACTTTTATACATATTACATCATAATGTTAAAATATCAATGCATTTTATAACAATTAAAACATTTTGTTGTTGGAAACGATTAAAAATTATTTTGGCTCGTTAAGACACACAGTGTGTTTAATGAACTTTATTTGTGAGAACAAAAGAGAGAGCGAAATAAATGTAACGGTATCTCAAATCTTTTGAGGTGCAGATTTAAGGAAAAATAGTCTCGCTGGATAGAACGATTACCTTGACCTCTAAATGACCTTCAAAAATATAAGGTTTTAAATATTTGCATCTTTTTGACCGGATAAAAGTTGATATACTTACATTGAACAATTTTTTTTTTTTTTTTTTTAATTTTAAACACAAATGTTTGCTATTCTTGCGTCACAAAATCGCATTTTTTCTTAAGTTCACATGCTGGTTTTCGAACAAAAAATTTTACTTTTGATCGGGTGATTGAATGAAAAATTATCTTAATTATCTTAAAGCCGAACTTCAAGCATCGCGAAAGTAAGAAGGCGTACCTGCCATATAAAAAGAGATATGTAGTTAAAAAAATGAGTATACAGCGTGGCGACGAATAACTGTTACCCAGGTTTTTTT